AGTGAGGAGTGCACCAATTGGGTTCCCAATCAGGGCCCTTCAAATTTTTGCCTTAACTACAAAATGGGAAACCTTTTGGCTTTGGTTGCGACCCTTTCGTCTAATTGGTAGTTCACCCTCTTTCATCCACACATATCTTCTACTATTATTTGCATCAAATGTAGATTCGTCATGTGTTATCAAAACAATTGGACTTTGGCCAGGAGGCAAATCCTGCGGATAAATCATGACTGGTTTACCATTCTGATCCAATTTCCACTGAACCATCAGCGGCTTTAGGCAGTCAAGAGTTGGTAGAAAGTGGTCTTGTCGATATGAGATAATATCAGGATATTCGTGTCCATCTTTGTACACTCCCTTCTTACACTCTTTATACCTGTATCCTAGCTTATTCAGCTATTTAGATGCGATCCGAGTTGAAAGTATGTTTCGAATTCTCCTCTGTAAGGCTACTTGCTCAAGAGGGACATGCGGAGGAGATAGAAGGTGACCTTGTCCATCAATATTAGGAGGTGGCAATCGGCCGGTTGACCAATATTGGGTAATGGCATATGCCAACCTAGCAGCTGTAACTGAATCCCTAGCTCTAGTAATATACTCTCTGATTGCAAGCTGTGTTTCTTCCTTGTCTATCCTTGATATAATACTCACCTGCTTCCGCCGTTTCTGTAGGATAATTCCTTGACTTTTGATCCACTTGCGTTCATCCCGCTGAATTCTTTCAACCACTCATTTGCCTCTTTCTGACGTAACAGCAACAAGGAGTGCAATTTCCTTTCATGGCTTGTTCCATATAGGTTTGAATAAACCCATTCGTTGAAATCTCATAAATTGGAGGACTTGATGGTGACTTTCAAGATCCTTTCTTTTAAAAGAGTACTTCTTGGACTTTAGATATTTTCTTAGATCCTTAATCACTATAAACACTACTAGTTAGCTCAATTTCCACCTAGTTGATTCAATATTCTCCTAGATTTATAGTATATACTTGACAATAAATAACTTACCTGAGAATAGTATCTGGTACTTAACCTTCTCCTTCTGAATATTGGCAACTCTTGGCCAAACTTCAATTGCATCCTTTATATAGGATTGTAATTGGAGTTCTGACTGAAACCCATGCTCATCCTCCTCTACCAATATTAATGTAAGCACTATTATACTCTCTTCTTATTCAAGCTTATTTATATCAAACATTGGTAACATACCTTCCTGAATGAAATCCACCTCTTCTCTACTATTTAATGCAGTAGCTTTCTCCAATTGCTTTCGTCACCTCCCTAGCATTTGTTGAGATGGTGTTTTTTGTACTACTGAACCCGATTCAATTTTTATTCTACTTCTTAGCAATTACTTCTATTAAATTATTGAATTACTTGTACACTATACCTGAGACTGGTTTAATAGCTTCTTCTGATACACTTACTGCTTGGCCCCTAGTTGGATCTTCCTCTACAAGTGTCGCTTCGTCTGGAATCTTGCTTGCTGAAGGTATCTTATGGGGTCTACCACCCAAATGGCCAACCTCTTGACTGGCAGCTCTTGCTTTTTTAAAATGTGGCATATGTGGAAATAAAAGTTGTTAGATATAGAATTAAAGAGATACGATATACAGTTATTATCAATTTGGTTTATTGTCAAAGATATATATTTTATATATCATATTATAATCTACTTGTATTATACTATAATACAAAGTTATTGTGATTATGCATCTATGACTAATAGGTTACTGGGTTTCTTAAAAACCCTTGTTAAAATTAGGTTTTGCCATAGAACTCTTATTCTAATATGTGTAATTTACTATTACTAAGTAAATTAAGTATGGCTGTCGTAACACCTTTTCTCCTCTTATACTAAAAGTAGCAACTTTTAAATCCTTTACGATTTACAACTATATGGCTAATTGGAAAAAAAAAACCTGTTTATTATTCTCCATTATTAGCTCTTTCAGAAACAGGTTTTTTTTGCTCGTTTGGAGATGTGGTGGTAAAGCCTTTAGGATTTGAAAGAGATGAAAAATCTGGTACACGTTTTGGAGATCTTGAACCATATGAAATCTAAGTAAGTCTTATAAGGCTTATTACTATTCAATTAACAATCTCAATATATCATAACGATCATGACTTAAAATCTAAGTAAGTCTTACAAGGCTTATTACTATTCAACAATCCCAATATATCATAACGATCATGACTTAAAATCTAAGTCATCATGATGTGAGAAATCCACATGACTCCTAAGCAGGTCATGTATATGAACAATAATCATTACATCATACAACTCAAATGAGTCATTAATCAAAACCATAACATATGAAATCCTTTACAAACTACGAAGGGTTTGTATCACTAGTATTGACTTTTGCCTAACATATAACAAGCATTTTATACTCCGTAGAGGATGAAGCTTTAAAATAGAGAACTGTGATTGACTACATTACCTAAAGGAGAACTATCATAAGAAAAGTAGTAGAGTTGCTATTTAGCACAATTGAGTAAAAACTCTGAATGCCAGTGTACTGTAGAAAAAGGTTGTGTTGGTAGCCTTAAGAGGAGGAAATCGATGAAAAGGTTTGAAACCAAGCTGAAAAAGTACTGAAAAACACAGACTATACCAGATCACTAGGAGTTGGTTGTAAGAGGATGTTTGCCGAAGCCTAGTTTTCATTCAACTAACAACGGCATACAACCTAACTAAAGGTATCGATGTTTGCCATGATTCTCAATAAAAACCGAGGATTTAGCAAAAAAATCTGTATCACAATATCTGCTCGGCGCATTGGATATCAGGTATACTTCCTCACTAGCCTGTCCAAGCAAAATATGAAGCAGCCAGGAAATCAGAGCGTGAATGCGATTCGTGTTCTCACTAGTTACAAACAAGTAACGCATCCCGACGGACCGTAAACGTTTTAGAAACAGGGGGCATGACGGGGGGGGGGAAGAGTAAAGCGTGGCATCCTAGACTACTCCGGGCCTGATGAAAGAATACATCTAATGATGCTGGGAAAAGACAATTTTGGCCAACCAGCAAAACCTCCGGTACACCGCAATCCAGAAACACAAAGTGAACTTAATAAAGAAAGAAAGAAGAGAGGTGAAAGAAAGGAATAAGGCATCTGTAAACGAACACAGCAGAAGCAATGAATCGATTCCTCATAGAGTTTCCCAGCCGCCACTGTTGATGTCCGCCTCTAATTTCCTAGATATGACCGATGGCACGCCGTGTTGTAGCCAGGTGTTACGCATGAGAGCGTCGTATCTTCGCTGGTTGAGGAATAATTGTCGATTACGTCTGTTGGATGTTAAATCTAATGTTGTAGAGAAGGTTGTGGAAATAATAAATACCTTAGCCCCCAGTCGGTTTCTCCATACTTATCGAGGTACGGGGCCGGTCCGTAGCTGCCATGTCCATTATGTAAATAGAGCACGCATCCTTTCCGGATATTTATGAAAACCCCAATATCTTTCCCACATCTAATTCAAAATCAGTAACTACTCGAACAGCCAGAAAATGTAATTGCGCTTACTTGTCAACATGCTGATTACAACCTCCACGCCCCTTATCTGTACAGCACACGGCTTGTGAACATATGATCTCGCCGCAGAATAGGCACACATTGGGATCAGAGAGGTCTTTTCCGCTTTTTGGGCATTTTCTCTTCATGGCTTCATCAACTAGTGTATCGTAATGAAGAGGTAATCCGACAAGCTCGAAAATAGCAGGATGTGATAGGCTGATACTCTCAAAGTCTGGGCTTGCATGTGCACACCATGCCGATATCATGGAACGCAAGTATTCGCCGTCGGCGGTGGGCATGAGCCAGGAGGAAAGCATCTCATCAAAGCTCGGGAGTCCTAAGACTTCAGAAAGGCGGTCTACCTCGGGATCATCAATATTTCCAAAACCTGTGTTTGGAAAAACGACTCCGTAATGGACATGCAATAGGATGGTAGATTTACGCAGGAAGGTTGTTGCGTACTTTCTGACTAATGCGCGCATGATTGCAACGTTCTCGAGGGGGAGGTTGTCCGCGCCGCTCTGGCGAACGAACTCTGCGAACCGACGGAACGTGTTGAGTTGCTGGTCTGTAAAATTTATAGAGTTTTGCGCATCTTTAGCTCTTCCGGATTGCCCCCATGCTGCCAACAGGTCGTTGGACCAACTGACTCTAGAAAGTTTATGCACTATCTTGGTGATTTCAGCCATGTAACATAATCGAACGACGTGTATAATATCAAGACCCAGTCCAGGGACAAGGCACATGGAACACTCTGCCAAGAATACAAATATATCGTCTAAGAATAGAGGGCTCTCGTTCGACCTCAACTGCGTGCGGGCTTTGTTATTGTATACCTCCGGGTGGCCAATCAACAATCGCTGGATTTGGTGTCGTTGCATGTCCTTAAACTCGAAAATTGTCTTGTTTTTCTCGCTGCTTTGTAATCCCCCGACGGCGATGTAGGAGGATATAGTTTCAGATAGAATTCTTAAATGTGTCAAAACTTGTTGCGAGATCCGGTCGAGTAGGGTCATTCCGGGCTCGGATCCCACACCTCGTTGGGCAATCTCAACCGCCGTGATGGTAAGTCCAAAGATTTTAGCCATCGAATCACAATGGGTCAGGCTGTGCTGCGCTGGAGGTGTAGCTAGGCGTGCCTCATTGGAGGGATATCTAGTGTGAATGGTGTTGCTGATAAGGGTGTCCCTCAGGCGACGGTATATTTTGTGTAATTCGTCCAATTCGGTTTGGACCGGCAGGGGAATAACTGCGCCAGATCTTGGAGCGGTTTCATTAGTCCCGAAGGTCAAAGTGGGAGCTAGTCTAGAAGACCCAAGCTCAGGAAATCGCGGCTCGACATGCATTGTTGACAGTTGAGAGAGCTTATTCCCTATTGGGGCGATCATGTTGCTAGAGCCATAGGAACAGAACATTTCCTGACACATCATAACACTGTACCTGTCTAGCCCATCACTCTCAATAGCCTTCTTGAGTTTTGCCATCGAGCCGAGTTTTTCTCCCAACCATTGTTCGAATTTGACTGTTGGTTTTAGCACCCCGGTTGTGGTCTCCTCTTTAGCCCTCCAGACAATGGGCAAAAAAGCATTTCCCAAAGCCTTGCACAGGGGACAGACGAATTCCTTAAGCTCTAATCGCTCAGGATGGTCACGGGCTATTTGCTGAGGATGACGGCGCCTTGTGGATTCGTAGTAATGTTCAAAGCAACTGAAATGCATGACATGGCTGCACCCAGTGGCAACAGGCCCCCTCATGACAGATTCTGGGGGAAACCCTTGGCCCAGACCTTGACGCTTAACAATAAACTCTGTTCCATCTATAGCAAGTTTGCGAATAGAATCACGATTCATACTTGCAACCCCGAAAGGCCGGATTTCGTCGGCCGGGCGGTCCAGGCTGTCGGGCAGAGTGACAATCTCATAAACGTAGCTCGGATCGTTAATTGGGGTTTGCCTTGAGATATTGCTATCTGATATCAACGCCAACGCTCCGTAAAGCCTCGAGTCAGTCATCTCTTCTTGACATAGTAAGCATGTCCCGGCGGGATATTTCCACCATTTCTTCTCTTCCTCATACTCTTTCTCCTCATTTTCACTATCGGTAAATTCTTCATCTCCAAAATCAAATCCAGCGGAGTTCAAGAAGCTTTGTTGCTGTTGCCTCATCTGTGCCATGATCTTTGCTTGTCGTTCCCTCGCTAGTTGCTTTCTCTCGGTTTCAGCATCTTTGGTGTTCTGTTCAGCTTCGGTATCCATCCTCTCTGCAATCTCGTGTGCCCATACTGCGGCTGCTTCAAATGCCGCCGGCTTCAAATGCCGCATTCGCCGGAGAATGTTGTCGATCTTGGGCCAGCAAGCCTTGAAGGCCTCTATGCCAGACAAACGGTGGAGCACGGTGGCGATGGTCCGATTGCCGATTTCGCTAGCCTCAACTTCAACAGGGGGTAGATTGAGCATCCCAAATCCACCCTTGGCCTTCTTTTCGAGTGCGTGGAGGATAAACGAATTGTCTGCTTCTTGGCCCTCGGGGGTTTTGTCCTCGGCGACAGCTAGCTGGCAAAGATGGAGACAAAGTTGCAGAAATATCTCAACTCTGCTCTCCTGTATTGAAGGTGTGTAGCTCTTGAATTGAAGACCATATGCAAGGGAGTAGTAAATGATCTGTGCAAAAATCGGTGTTCTGGTGAAAGCGGCAATATCCGAGAACACACCCGTTTTGATTTTCCGTAGTTTTGGCTCGAATGCCACCTCAGAAACAAGACGCCCGGTTCTCTTTGCGATCCTCGCACAGCAGCTATTTTCCATTTCCTCACGTTGGTTCTTTGAAAACTGTAGGATGTATGGATCCACTTCGTCATGATACTCCTCTTTGAGCTCGAACGTGCCGGAATCGGAGAGACCATCTGGAGGCCGAAAGGTAGTCATTTCCTCAAGGGTATCTTGGAACTTGTCAAGTTCTTGTAACCTCTCCGGAAGGCGTGCCGTGAGCTCCGAGAATTGAATCGGCTTGAAGCAAAGAATATGAACAATTTCTCTCTTTAATTTCAACAACGCGAGATCGGGTTCTTCTTGTATTGGAATGAGTGGGAGACGATCGCTTAGTATCACAATCAACAGATGCAGAAGGTCTTCTGCAAGGTCTAATACTTGCGAGTCCTCATAACCCTGCGGGACGTCAAAGTTACCCTCTACCCAATGGTTGAGATTGAAGCGGTCGATCATTGTCACGAGCATCCTGCTAGGATTGATGGTGACCAAGGCTGTCTGTAATAAAAAGATATCTCTACTATGTGCCATCTCCCGCTGGGAAACGCTCTTGTAGGTTTGCATTTGGTGTCGGAGACTGAATCCGTTGCGGACCCACATACCAGCCTTCATTTGAGCTAGCCACACGCAAACCCTCAGAGGAAAATCAAACATGACGATTGCAATATCCTCGAGTTCGTATTCCGGCGTTTCTGGATCCGATGCTCGTTTGATTTGTTCCCAATCAGGCACAAGGAACTTCTGTAATTGATGCACATCCATGTTTCTCCCAGCTTCTATGAGCCAGGACAATGTGTAATGTAGGGCGTGGTGAAAACTGATCGGTTGCTTATCGACAGAGAACTTGACGATTTTGTATTGGTGTTGGTTGCCCCAGCGGTCTGTATCGAACTGAAAGCCGGTGACTTGTTTGAGCTCGGCTCGAGATTTAATCTCGGCTTGATGGAACCGATAGCGTTGCCAACCTAAGGAGTTGATCGCGGTGTATCTCGCAACCGTAGATATGGCACACTGAAGACTGTTGTCATGGGGGTCTTCGGTCCATCGGTACGCTTCCGAGAACTGCCTAACCAATCTATTGATCTCTCGCGTAATCAAGGATGCGCTGATCCACGCCTCGGCTTCGTACTCTACATGCTCACCAACTGCGCGGGTGTTGGGGCAAATGCCTTGGTGAAGGGTTACTAGATCTAGAAATTGAAGCATATATCTCTCCTCATGCCGTAATCTATCCTGGACATAATCGGATGCGAACAAATACCGCATATCATGGAAGAAATGGAACATTCTCCGATTGGTGAGAGATCCTGTATCAAATGCAAGAGTTGCCTCTTGGTTGACTTCATGGGGATGACCTACTTGGCGAGTGGTGAGAAAGGTATACAGGATGGCCAATTGATTTGTTAAGAAGTTCCCACGCTTGACGACCTCGGCGGTTATGGAGGGCGTTGTTAGAATCTGCAAGGAAAGGTTGATAATAGAGTGGTCAGGCTCCCGGTCGGGAACAAGGTACAATTGACTCAGAACAGTGTATAGACCGGAGAACCGTAAACCCAGAATTCGCTTGAACTCGGGAATAGCGACCACAGTGCTAATATAAAGATCCCGCAGATCAATCCTAGCCTTTTTCCAAAGTCTCAGGTCAAAAAGGATGAGCCAGTCCAGTCGGACCCTTTGGCGTAGGTCTTCGTGAGGAGGGACAGGGTGTTTGTTGGCATACCCGGCTGGTTTCTCTAGCCAATGTTTAGGTACTGGTGCTCCAGGCCTGCGGGAATGCTGGAATCCTGGGGTACGAGGTATAGGCGGCACATCGGGCATTTCCTCTTCAATATATGCCGACGCACTGCCACTGGCCTCTTGGGTTCGTTCAATAGCAGTTTCAGCTTGAACAGTCACTGTTTGTGCGTTTGCATGGGCTCTACCAATTTGATTTTGAGGGCCCATTCCGATTGCGCCTATGATACGACCGCCGAGTTGGGCCAATACACTGCCGACCATGTCAACATCATCATCAGCTTCTCCCCCGCCACCATCGTCGTCTTCGTCTTGGTCAACATCTTCCACAATTTGATCCTCGATATCTCCTTCATCCATATCCACGTCGTCGTCAGTTCCGGCCCCAGTAACTACTTCAATGGGCACGACCACCCGCCTAGTCCCCGGCAGAGGATTACCGTCTTCCTCTACCGCATGATCATCGATTCCTTTCTTACCAACTTCTGTATTTGAGGCCTTCGAGCCAACCCTCCATACCCCAAGAAGTTCTTCACAGATGGTCGTCCGAAGTATGTCGTTATGCCCCCCTACACTGCAACCAGCGATGTCCCCGAGCCACTCTATTATGGTACCACACATTTGCTCTCGGAAAGTGTCCCTCGCAGACCTGATAGTTACGGTGACTTTTATTTGCTCGATAATACTGGATATCCGCATAAGCTCTGGAAGAGAGTGATTGTAGGCAACAATACTTCGTCCGACGAAATGGGTTTCCTGTGCTTTCTCTTTTCCGAACCCCTTGGTCTTTTTGCATGCTCGTGCAACTTGATCCTCAACCTCGTCGATGGTGTGCTTCTCGTCATTCCATACAATCAGTGCGTATTCAACGCGATCTGTAGCCGATTCTTCTGGGAAGTATCTAGAAGTCAACCTGGATGACTCCTCATCTGTTCTTATGCCTTCTTCGGTCTTTGGGAGTCGTAGCTGCTCTGGTGAACAGGATATAACATCACATAGGTAGTCTATCGCTCTCGCAATGGTGCTTCGGATACCCGCAACAAGGTCTGGTGGTATTCCGTGGGGAGAGGTCTCAGAACCCATATGCGAAGAGAGACCGTGAGTGAGAGGAGTGTGAATGGCGCATTTGACGGGAATTTTCCATGCCTCAAGATCTCCGCAATCACAGCAACCACTACTGCCAGCAGAGATATTGATATAAACAGTGTGACCTGTATGGTCAGAAGACTCAAAGCATTTTCCGCAGAGTACGCAGGTGTCATCGAGTGAACAGGTTCTGGTTTTAAGCTTGCATTAGCTGGGGAGAAGAAATTAAGCGGTAGACATGACTTACTTGCACCGATACGTCGCTTCTCCGGACTTAAATATATGGCCACATGGCTTCCCCCTCGCTGTTGCACTGTACTCTGCTCCATCAGACGCACCCTGAGCTGACGATAGATTCCAATCTGCCGGAGAGGTTCCTTGCGGTGGTCCGTTGGGGAAAAAGTAATTGAGATATTCTCGCTTATTGCAAGCAAGAGCTCCAAATAGGTCTTTTAACAGCAAAAGCTGAGCCTCGCTCGTATACCTATAGTCGTTGTTTTGCGGAGCATTCCGGAGGCGTGAGGCGAGGTGGTTCCCAGGCTCAACATTCGTCGTCGGCGCAAAGGCAACGGGGCGCTTCATCGGGTCAGAGACCGCAGTGATTCTACCGGAGGATTTCTAAGGGATGGCGGTATATTTTGGTGATGGCACGTATCTGATGGGTTCGATTACCGAAGAATCGTAGGAATGGGTGAGGTAAAAGAGCTCGAATGAAGACGAGGTGATGAAGGTGGTTGCGGAAGTTGCGATGGTACTGATCGGGTCTGAGGGTACGGTAGGGTTGATTCACAATCTCACCAGCGGAATAGGGCGAGTCAAGTGCAGTACCACGTTGGGGAGGAGAACAGCAAGGAATAGCTGACAGGTGGACTGCTGTACGATATGGCAGCGTAGCTACCTCCTCTTGTTACTGTACTGGTATTGGACAAAAAGAACAGGTCTCTTGCTGCGCACACGGTGGGAGAAGGGCAATAGCAGAATGGTGGCAACCACCCACAGTTACATATCGAAAGCCTCGGAGGTCTTGATCGGGAGTATCAGCAGAACCGACTCGGGCCTGCATTGAATTTAGTCTAAATTTTGGTTTCAATTCAGGCCCAACGGAAACGTATGATACAGATTAAAAATTATTTCATAGCTGGGGCCTACAAGAGTTCCACTAGGATTGCAAGGCGGTATTGAGAATCAGAAATTGAGGGGTAATTTGATGAAGTTGGATGTTTTGTTAAGGTCTAAGCTGTCTAGCGTATGAAAGTATCTTTCGGATCGGTGTCCAAAGTAATACGTGGGGAGTATATGGCAGTCGACCCTTAAGATTTTTAGGGAAGAGAAGAGGGTGTGTGCACGAGCATCATTGAGTCGCTACAGAATCACAAGCACCGGTAACTTACACTAGACTTGCAAAGGAATCAATAAAAACGTTGGTACGATACCAATAACTTGAATGCATGGTATCATAAAGCAGCAAGAGACATGAGCACCATGGTACCGGTATTATACTGGGGTCATGCGGTAAAGTACTTGTGAGGTTAGCCCATATCTACTACCGGTACTGCGTGTTCCATGATAGTAATATGATCTATCTAATATGTACTGATCTAATATGTACTCAAGAGCGAGTCACGTTTTGTCTGATCTCGGAATTTGATAATCAAATCAGATTATTATCCCAACATGAGTAGTATTGCACATGACACATATCTTTAAATAAAACATCTCACTAGTCTAGAAGTTATATATCCCAGTATCCTCCATATCTTTTACACATCCAGTGATTGAAATTTATTTCCTAATTGAAAAGATGCTAGTATAAAGCTTCATTATTGTCAGGTGGTAATAGATTCTAGGATACAGCCCTATTTGCAAAGTTTCTTTTACACTTCTAAGTATTATTACTAATTCTTAGAAATGCTTTTCCAATTCTCTGTAACATTCCTAAGTCCTTGTTAGTATATAGTGATGGGCAAAGATACTTTTCTTATATCTATCTTGTAATAATTCTTAGACTCCTTAGCCTATATTACCAACACTTCATTGGGTAATGCCTATCATTGTGAACGTATAAGATATCACACTTAGGCTCCTGAGAAATATAAAGAATAAAGAGCATGAAGATGTTTTATTCGTATAAAGAAATAAGTAAGGAAATGACTTAAAACATTTAATCTAATTTTTTATTTATACTTGTACTGCCAACTCTGGCATATGACAAGCCCTCACTGGCACAGGGTTAGCACAAACTGAAACTATGACTAACTACGAAGTAACTAAATCTCCAGTACAATACCTCAAACATGCTCATGCTATGTCCTAACACAAACACTAAATACAACACCATCAACAGTAAAGAATGCCCTCCTAGCCCCTATGCCAAAAGTGATTCTAGTATGGAACCAACTGCAGTTCCCATAGCAAGCCCACATCATTCCTGACTGAGGAGTACTGAGGGTAAATCCTGGAATACCAAGGTATACAGGTGACAAGCAAGACCTAAGCTGAAGCCCCAAAGCCAAAGGGGTGTCCAATAAAAGCAAGTTCTCCATACAAAAAACTAAACTAAAAATCACTACCGCTTAGTCTTTATACCATCCTGTAGTCCTTATCCACTACAAAAGAAAACCAATAAGAATTTAACTCCAAAGGAAGTACTGTTAGGAATACCAGAACCCGATACCTAGGAACCACCCTAAGTAGGGTAACCCCACTTGGAATTGGAATCTCTGGTCTCCAACACCCCCCTCTGGCTCCCTTACGGGGCCTGCACATCATCATATATATCAATCTCAGTTGCGTCCTGTGACTACATTACCACAGAATTGAAGGTGTCAGGATAATACCATATATTTGTCGTCGCCGTCTGTCCGACCAGATCCTGTTCGCAGGATATATGAGAGGAGACCTTCGGCTAGGTTTGAGAAGTGGAACGGAGTGATTCCGTCAACTACTCAGAGGATTACTAGGCTTCAAAGACCTGACACCTTTGGCATGGGCCATAAGTAACGGGACGATTTCGCACAAAAGAGATGGTATCAAATGGTAAAGGATCTCTACTAGAGACCAATACATTTACATACACCAGAAGAGTCTAGAACTCCAAAAGACACTACTAAAGAAGCCAACAAACTTCACAGAGTGTTGCAACTGGGTTTCAGAACACGTTGTAGCCATGGGGGCATTTCCAATATTATAACCATTACCGAAGCCTACTACCCAGAGAGCAACAAGGGGTTGCTAACCGAGGGATTAATTATGAACCTGGTAGAATAGCTTCCTGCGAGTTAATAGGAAGTCATCCAGAGAAAATCTATTGGTTGGGTATGAAGTTACAAAGGATCGAAGTCAGACAACCTACTATAGTTGTAATGACGACCACCTTTGCAGATATAGCCATGAATAAAACTGATCATTTTATCGATAGTGAAGATAATTGGAGCCAACTCAGTTCGACTTAAGAACTAGACCATAAGTCTAAAGACTCTACTAATCAGGATATTACTATTGGGGGCAGCATGCTTCCTAAGAAGAAATATCGTAATTACGGAAGAGGGTGTGATGGTTTTCAGGGTCCACAGGTGTTTGCACCTTGGAAGAAAACTCGACGTCGCGAATTACGATTGAAGAAGTACATAGTTGCATGATAAATAGATGTAGTCCGCGAACACTCAGAGGCGGAATATAAATATCGAAGTGCCTGTAACAATCCCCTTTCAGATAGTTAGTTCTTGGCGACGGGGAACGATACTTACCTCTTCTTTCTCTTTCTTTCCTTGTCTTACGATAGCTCTAGGCCTCTGCCTATGTTACCGATAGTACAAGACCTTTGTCTTCTATCAGAAACATCTATCGTAAGCTTTCTCTAACTTGTCTTCGTAACGAGTGCTTCTTGGCGTAATGATAAGGTTGCAATAAGGATAAAGATCGTAAAGGTGTTTATATTCGTTTAAAGTAATATGTAGGAAAAGTGCTTAGAACAAAGCGTGAAGAACCTATCTTCCTCGGCCGCATCGGCCTCCTTATATAGTGTTCTTCCCACCTTTAATCATGTGACCTAAAGTGGTCACATGTGCAAAACCAAATCAAAACAAACTAGTCATGTGACCAAAGTGATCACATGCTTAAAACCCATGACCTTATAGTGAGGTCATGTGCAAAACTCATAAACCAATCATAACGCAATAAACAAGTCATATGACTCGACTGAGTCATATGCACGAAACCCATGACATCATAATGAGGTCATGTGCGAAACATAAATCATATGCACAAGGCTTGCCTATAAGGCATACTCGTAAGGCATACTCGTCAGGCGCATGTCCCATGACTCATACTTGAGCCATGTGCGAAAGCATCACAAATTCCACACATAACTAATCATACAACCCGAATAGGTTATATGCGTGAAACAATAACATACCTGTGACTCATAACCATGTGTCACGTGAAAACCCTTTCCTTACTAAGTCACGTTCGTGACAGTGCCTCCCAAAGCTTTAGACATTATCAAGCAACGTAGAAGAGACCTTAACAATATAATGTTGTTTTTACGATTCTATCCTACTTCACCTACTTTACTTCACTCCTAGTAGTCATAAACGAAACAAGCCAAGTCTGAGCCTTCCTAGACAATCTCTGTCTACAAAAACGAATCTCGATTGGCCTAGACAACCTTGAAGTCTATCAACTTGTCTCTGCCTAACAGTATATAGTTAGATCTCCTTGTTACTAAGGCTCTCTAATCGGTTACCACTTGCATGGGTTCGATTCACACTTTCAGTGAAGTCATTGATATTACAGTCGGCCTAGATACGCTTAAAGAACTATCCCGAACCAATTCAATTTTCAAACCACTGACTAAGGTTCACTTGCCATCTATTGGTCAAGTACTTTCTAGTCAGTTTGAGCTTTCAGAAGTACCATTTCTGTTACAAGAAGCTTCTTCATGGTATACCGACCCCAACTTAGTTCCTACGGAGGAACAATTTCAAAGAATATACGAAACCTGGTACAGACCAGAATTTAGTTGGAAACCCTTCCTTGACTGGGATACCTGTGAGGAAAGTTCTATTAGCAGCAGGTTCTCTACTACTATACCTCTAGCGTGGATACTCGGAACTCATCCGAACTCCCATTAAAACCTATCTCCTCCTGCTGCATATTCTACTTAACCAGAAACCTCCCAGAATGTGGGCTTTATAGCCCACTTACGAGAAAAAGAAGCTCACAAACGAGCAAGAGAGATGGCTCAACCTCCTAAACAGATCCTTCCAGGAGAACCAAGGGATACCTCGGGAGATGATCACTCTACAAGTTTCAGTCATTCTTCCTCTCTCCCTCCCACTCTTCGGAAACCTATTGGAGGACAAGAGGGCAGGGCTCACAGTGTCCCTCTGTCCTCAAGAGCCCCTTCTGCTGCTTCATGATCTACCACACCACATCTGAATACCCATGCAGCAGATATCGCAAGACTTGCCGCTAGGGTAGGAATTATCATAGGTCAAATCTGACAAGACATATTAACCAGTATTGATACTGCCAATATTGCCTTTGACACCCTATCAGCAGATTCTCAAGCCAATGCACGA